TCTACTTAGTTATTCAAAAATATTTACTGTGTGCCTATTATGGGTCTGGAACACTGCTTGGCATTGGAGATACAGCAGTAAACTCAGAGTTCTTTTTAAGGATCTTGGAGTCCAGTGGGAGAATCACATATATAAATGAATAATTATTGTGAAATTAAAATAAAGTCAAGTGAGGCTTTCCCTCACTTGGAATACTGTTTCATCCCCCCCCTTGTTTTTATGTTTGATGCAACAATCACCATCTCTCCAGATTACATAACGGGAGTAGATCTTTTTTTTTTTGTAAGGTTCACTGATTTGTTGCAAGCACAAAGGACAGTGACTCTATAGCAAGTGCTCAGTAAGTGTATTTTTTGAGTTAATAATGAATAAACTCATACATCAGTTTCTTTTTGAAGAGTTCTTCAATTTCTCAGTGAATATTTTTCCATAGTGCTTTTGTTGTGGAATTCAGACAGATGACATATTAGCTATCTAGTAAGTGCAAGAGTGATTGGACAAATAAATATAGAATGAATGATTGAATACGGATGAATGAATGAATATAGAAGAATGTAATGGAAACTGGCAGTCAGATCTATTAGGTATATGGACTCAAGTTGTAGCTCAGCAGAACATTTTCCTTCCAGTCCTCCCAGTAGTTAAACACACAGAGACAGGTATATTTAAACAAAATAGAATTGCATCAGATTTAATATTTGTAATTGCTTTTACACCTATTTCTAAATTGGACATTTACATCACTTTTATTTAATTTTTTTTGCTCATAAATAGTGATGTGGTTAACACATTTTTGCCTACGACTGTTATTGTCATATGAATTTCTAAAGTATATATGAAATTTAAAGCTTTTGAAACATAAGTGCCTTCCAGAAAGTGTGTGAGATTATCATTCCCTCAAGCGAGTGAAAGAGATTGTTTCTTCACAACCTTAATTAACACTGAGTACCAGGCTGCATGTTAGATTTTAATTTAATGTGTTATAAGCCAACAGTAATTCCTTTATGATGTCTAACTCATGAATCCATGCCTAGAAATAATTTCTCCACAAAAAGATTCTAAAGATGTCTACCTGTAATTTCTTCTAATACATATTATGGTTTCATTTTTTATATAGAAATTAATTCCACCAGAATTAATCTTGTTTTAAGTCATTATATAAGCATCTTATAATTTCTAAAAGGATACTAAATTGTTCCAATACATTTAATTAATAATCAATCTTTCCATTTGCATGACATATATAATACATTAAATGAATATATTTAGATCTGTTTCTGGACACTGCATTTCTGTTTTCTGTTGATCTATCTACTTTTTCTTGACTATGACATTATTTTAGTTACTATAACTTTATGATATACTTTAATATATTACAGATCAAGGTTCCTATTTCTATTTACAAAATAGAGGAAAATTTATATTTGTATATTATTGAATCTTCCCATCCAGGGAGAGAGTTGGTGTCTTTTTAATTAAAACTTCATTACGTTATCTTATAGAGCATTTTATCAATGAGCACTCATACATTTCTGCTGATTTTTTTCTACACAGTCCATAATTTTAATTGCAATGAGTGAGACACATTTTTCTATTATGATATTTAACTAATTATTCTTGTTATTATGTTTATGCAGAGAGAAACAAAGCTATTATTATATATTATCTAAAGAAACATTTATATAAATCTTATAGAATATTTTCTTAGTTTTCTAGTTAACCACGTAATCTTAAAATTTCAGTTTTTCAATTTTTTGACATATTTATTATGTATTCCCCTTGTTTTAAAAACTGAATTACGCTGGCTATTCCTTTCAGAAAAATGTTAAACAATGTAAAAGCATTAAACTGTCACGATTTTGATGAGAATACGTCTAATATTAAGCATGATAATTGAATTCTCATCTCAGTACTGAAAAGAATGATGATGGCAATGGGGTGAAACACATCATATATGTGAAATATATAACTATATTATTATAATAAAAGCAGCAACAGCAATAGCAATGATAAATCTTCATTTGTAACCATTAGGGAGTGTTAACTCATTACTCTGAAATTTAATAAAGGGAAAGACTCAAGTATATTCTTCCTCTCCTGGATAAGCTGTATTTTCGGGTGACTAAATAGTTGATAAATAACATCATTTTTAAAAATCAAAACTCCACTTTAAAAATGCTGAAGGAATGACAGAAAATCCGCATTTTGCAATGCCTAATGAGATAGTGAATTCAGGAAACATGATGTTGGTGAAAAACCTCATTTTGCAGAGAATCACATTACTAGCACATCAACTCACTGATAAGTCTAGCATCACAAATGAGACCATGAAATATTATGTAACTAGTTAAGTACTGTGAAATACTCTAGGCTTAAGAACAAACAAACCACGATAATAAAACACTAATCTAATCTAGCCTAATATCTCATAATCAAGTTATAGAAAATACGAAAAATAGAGGAATAAAACGAATAACACAAGGAAAAGTACTAAATCTAAATTACTGGACATTCAAAAGGACAAATAACCTGTTTTCTTCAGCAAGTCAATGGCCTGGATTATTTTTTATAGAATAAAAGAAATTTAAGAGACATGCAACCAAATGCAGCATGGACCTTGATTTTAAAATCTCTTGTACATAGACATCTTGGAAACAATTAGGAACAGTATTAGATTATATTAAGAAATAAGTATTTAATTCTACTAATAGCTTCCTGGTTATATAAAAACAAAACAACAACAACAAAAAAAAACAACCAACAAAAAAACAGCATTCTTGTTAGAGATGCATACTGAGATATGTACAGTAAAAGGACATCATATCTGGTCTGCTTTAAAATATCTCAGTATAAAAATAGTGAAAATATGTAAAAGAGTGGGGAGATACTGATAACTATTGAAACTAGGTAATGGGTAGATTGAGATTATTATATTATTCTCTCTACTTTTGTGTAATACATGTGGTTAGTGATAAAAAAAAGCAAGCAAGAAGTAACAGACAGTGGAAAAGTAGGTGAGGAGCAATGACGAGTCTAAATAAAAGGGTAGAGGTGGTTAATACAGTAAGCATATAGTTAAGTACGAGAGAGTGCTAACCTATTAAAGTAGAAGTGAGGTTCAAAAAAAAAAAAACTGAGAGCAGAGAGACTGGCTGGAACTCAGAACTGAGGCAGATAGGGTAGAAGTCGAAGAGTTGGAGAAGGGAGCAAAACCACTCTTAAGATACCTAGAAGGGCACTCCCTACTTGGATCACAAATGTTTGGGAGCTAGCATCATAAATTATTTTTCATGTATGGGTTATTTTTCTTTAGTCTACCAACTACCGCACTGCTGTGTAATGTAAACCACCCTAATAGGCGCTAAGGTGATAAAACTCCACCTCATGGCCACTACAGCAAGAGATATATCCAACATTGTGTATAAAATCTTATTTAGAAATAAAATTGCTGCGATTTAAAAGACTTTCAAAATATCTTCAATCTCACTATACAAATATGAAAAGAAAAAGCCTCTAAATTTTGTGTTATCCTAGGACATACCTAGAAGGCAATGCAGTGAAGACCTGCCCTGTCACATTCAATAGAGCAACTCCAGAAGCAATTTGTTACAAGCAGATGGATAGTTGAACACTAAAAAGGATGATAAGCTAGAAAGAAATTAGATATTGAAATCAATTTCTTTTAGGCTTAACATGAAACTTCAGTTTCACACAAACAATTGTATTTGAAGAAGTCAGGAAAAAAAATGCCATACTAAGATGGGTGCCCGTGAAAACAGAACTTTACACATGCTATAGCCTTTATAGTCACCATTTACTTGATTGGTCCAAATATTTATAGTTCATTGTTATGACTGCCAAAACTGGCAACCACAAGGATTGTTGTCTCAATTAGGACAGTAAACAGATTGTCTCTTTTTTTAATGAAAAAATCTAAAATGTAATACTTCACAGTTTAACATGTTTATTCATCTAAACGAGCTAAAAAATAATGGTGCGACATCTGTTCAAGAGGCATTGGTACCTCAAATTTTGGCTGCCTCCGCACCAATTTGGTTGTTGTTTTAAAAAATGAAGAATAGGAGGGAGTACTGTCATCAAAAAATCTTCTGGCATGTAAAGTCTCTTATTTTTCTTGAAATAAGAATCACATATCTGTTGCTAGGGATAGAAAAACTGTATAACAAGGAGGCACTATGCAGAACGCAGATATAATTCAATTGTTTTAACTCAATTACTGATCCACTATGGATATTTCCACACTGGTGTAGTTCTTTACATGACTCTCCCAGTTTCTGCTATACTTACCTTTATAGTTAATTGAACAAAATGGTAAGAATGTTCCTGTAGGTTGAACTCATCTGCTACAATTTTTTTTTTTAACTGTGGGTTGCACTGATTCTAAATATGGTATAAGTGGAACAAAATCTAGCAAACATCATTCTATCCAGGCTGCATTGGAGCAATTCTAATAAAAGAAGGCAGTGCTGCTAAGGGAGCAGTGGTAGGAATCTTCCAGAGAAGCCCCAGGTAAGTGTAAAGAAGTCTAATTGTTGGCAAGGAGAAAATACAAAATTATCTTAGGTAGTCTCTGGCTCAACAACTTTATGTTATGGATGTAATACATTAAAATGAGTATGCTTCATTTCTAGGAGTTTATTTCTGAGGCTCATGTATCACGCAATTTGCTCTACTGAATTATCATTGACTATATAATTTTAGAACCTGGAAAATATAGTGCTTTAGTAGTCGCATAAACATTATAATGAAAATTTGGTTCTATTTTCATTTGGAGTGAAAATGCATGCTAAGTTGAATTCAAAGGTTGGGTATAGTTTTAATAAATTCTTAGATAAAATAGCATATTTGATTCCCTAGAAAAGAGCAATGTTTCTATTTTCTAGCGACCTTAATGCTAATTGTCTTGATCTTAAAGAGACTCAGGATGAAACACATATATATCTCAGTACAACCAAGGACCATAAATGGTAAACACTGAGTTGACTGATATTGTGATTTTAATTTTTATTTATTAAATTCAAACAATTTTTGATCATCTACTTTACACAAATAACTGTGACAGACTCTGAGAGGACTAAAAGACATTAACTTAAATTTTAACATGCATTTATTAAATTTATATGAAGATGACTACACTACCGAAATTACAGAAATAAATAAGAACATACTCTCAAGATCTTACAGTCATTGGTTGGGGTGATAGTATTTCTTCTGTCTTTAAAAAGAGAAAATCCTGAAGTATTTTGCCACTTTAAAACAACAACCCATCCTACATTTGTACTAAAATAGGCTTTTGCTTGTTTTTAAACAAATTCTAGATGAGGTTATATTTTTACAATACTCTCTCTCGTCTCAAATGAATTTATACATTCTTTACCCTGTCTAAACTTACATGCAAAATAAGAACAGCAAGCCTTCAAACTTCAATCACAGTATTCCATAGGCTATATTTTAAGTCTATTGGATTAGTTGAAATTTATGTTGCTGAGTATGTTAACAAACAGATTCTATCATTTAAAAAACCATTATGATTTTTTTCTGTTTTTGTCTTCTGAATTACTCTGAGCAGTGAATTGTTGGAGGGAAAATACCCATGTCTAAAATTTGTATCCGGTGCCAGTCTCAGATTTATGCCAAACACCACTCGGTATTCAAAAGTGTTGTCCCTTTAAAACAGCAGGCCGGATATCACCTTTCTGTCTTCAAAGATTCAAACCAGACTTTCAATCTGGGATTTCTCTACAGAGGGTTGGCTGCTTCCCAGTTAATGTGAGTTTTGCAAAATTTGCATTTCGTGAAAACAGTGTTGTGTAAACATATATTGTGTCACTTTACCTGCTATTTACTGAAATCAGGGAGTTTAGCCTTTGAAATTTACGGTTCTCTGGAGCCATCATAAATCAATCAGTCATATGAATGGACCGTAGACACAGGATATTAATAAAACTAGGCAATGAAATTTGCCTCTAATTATACTGTATTTAGACTAATAATTATTACTATCAAAAACATTTTTCCCCAAAAAACACCTCAAGGGTGGAACAGAATGGTAAAGTTTTTTTCAGGATGATGAATTTTCAAGGCATTTCCAAGAGCATAATCACCTATTTTAAATACTGTAAACTCTGTTATACTTCATTTGGATAAGTATCTAAGAAGCAATTATTACATACCCTCTCATTTAAATTACCACTGAAAACTAGAAATAATCTTTATTTAATATGACTGTTTTTAACACCATATGGAAAGGGAAATAACTAAATGAAAATTGCTCACGTAAATGTGATGGGTGTGGGGGGCGGAAAGCAGTATTTCTTGACATGTGGCATGTCACTCAGGATAGTAAAAGGCCCATCATATCCAAAATGCCAGCTTGGATATTCCCTTGCCACCCACTTGACGAACAGACATACCACATGGCATTAAATGCTGCAACCTTTCCTAAAAATGCCACTTGGATTGGTCCACTGTGGTGAGTATATAAGAACTCTTGGTCTGTCTCTTGAGTTTGTGAGTTCAAGGGGAAGAATCTAGTAAATAACACTGGCTAAATTTTGCCCTCAGATGTTTGGCATAAATGATTTGTGAGGATATTGGAACCTTTGGCTGTTTTCACACCAATGAAATAAATTATGCTACTTGAAAAAATTCTACAGAACATAATGCTACAGTCACATTCGACTTTTTGCAAAAGTACCAAAGAATATCTTTTAGAAACAGTGCTTATAAAGTCCTCTATACTCCTCAGATACTTCCCAAAGATTTCTTCTCTTGGCTAGTATGAAACAATCTTAATATTTTATTTCTTCTTCATAAATACAAAGTATATATATAAAACACTTTGTGCACGTTTCCAACAATTTCATTTTCTATGCATCTTTATATAAGGTAGTAGCTAATAACTTTCTGTAGACAGGTATTTTCCAGTTTCTAAGCTCACATGTTGTAAAAACATATTTAAAAACTGAATTACCAGTAAAAATGTTGAATGTACAGGTCATTATGCTCCCACAAATGCAAAATACATTGAAAAATTATATAAACAGGTAATTACATATGAAAATAATATGAGGCCTATATTTTCTTCTATTATTTATTGTCTCCCTAAAAGAGTTTTAACTGATTAACTCTCAAGAGACAAAATGCAATTTTATAAAACAATTGTATCATTCAGATTTAGGAGACAACCTAAGAAGATGATTCTGAGTAGGTAGGATTTTTGCTATTACTATTATGTGAAAAAGACTGCACAATTAAATAACAGATTGTTACATATCTCCCTAACAAGAGGGCCAAACTGATACTACAAGCAGCCAGAATGACATAATTAAAATAGAATTTCAAGGTTATATTAATAGAGTAATAAGTTAATTAAAATCAAGATCAACTGAACTTTCTATTTACACCAGTTCAGACAGCCCAAGAGGAAAAGAACTCTATTTTAGAGACATATGTGACTCTTTGAGCTTCTGTCATCCAGGTGCCACTTCTGATGGAGCACATGTGCACTGAACAGTTGGCAAAGAAGGAAAAAGATTACTGTAGATGTATGTGCAGATAGTCGCTCTAATGATATAAAATACGCCTAGAAAGCGAGAGGGTCTTTGTTGTAAAATAAAAAATTTCCCATGACTTTCTGTTCTTTCTGAATGCGATTTGAGTATGTTTCTGTAAATAAGAATATATACTTTTACTTAGGATGTATATAGAACAAAAATAGCCTTAGTAATTCTGTAAGTGATGGAATTACACACACTAATTGGCAACAACATTTGAAAAATTTGGGGTCTGGTTTCCATTTTATCTAAATGTATCATCTATAGAGTGTCTGTCAATGCAGAATGATATATAAAAGTATCCAGGAGCACATATTATACTGCACTGCTAGGTAAGGGTCTTTTCTTGATAACCTGTGCAACTATTTTTTCTGGAAACTGAAAATATCAGCAGAGAGAATTAAATAAAGATGTTGCAGTTTCAGTATTGAAAGTTTTGGTCCCAAAACGTGCTTTCATAGTTATTTCCCTTTCATGCATTGATTGCTGCTTAGCTAATCTTCATCTTGGTCCAGATCAGCGTCAACATCCGTTGTGAGTCTGAGATAAAAGAAAGCATAGAAAGCCAGTAGTAGTGCCAATATAGCTGCAAGTACAAGGCCAACTTCCTGGGAAGAAAAAAAAGCAGACTTGAAATTGCTGAAAAGAGACTGGTTTACATTATTAGTTTCACCAGATAAAACAACCATATTATTCCACAGTTTAGAATGAGTAATTTGTACCTAATAATCATATTCTTTTTGTTTACCACTTTTCGCCATTAAGAAACTTGTTTTGTACTTGGTAAGTCCCAATGAAATGGCAAATACATCAGTGGGTGAGTCATTGGTATTATTATTTTTAGCTAATTTGTTTTTTCCTAATAGTAACAATAAAATTTATCATTTTAGTATATTTTTATAATTTGGATATCAGGATGTTCCATACAAGCAATGCGGTTTGTATCTACACAGTTGATCTATTTTCTATTTGAGTGTGTTTACCTTTGTTGCTTCAATACATTTAGTATTAATGAAAACATTTGAACACAGATGTGTTAAATTATTCCTTTTCATTGAAAAGAAATAGTTATAACTGGTCTCTAGATTATATCTCTGTATATATTCTCATTACAAGTGACTTTGCTTAAACTCTGAGTTTTAAATTCTAAAGTCTATAGTTTATATTGCAGGGGAACAAAAAACAGAGTACTTGTCACTCATGAATCATGATACAGTGTAGTTTGTCACAGCTGTGAAGGATGAGTCCAGATTTTTCATTTCTGATGTGCCGTGGATTAATCAACTAAATTGAAATAACAATTAAAAAATTTACTCATATATTATGATGAAAATCATATTATCTCTCAAAAAGTATGTGTATGTATATATGTGTCTGTGTGTGTACCTTCCAGAAACTTTCTTAATATTAACATATCATTTGGCTAAATCAGACAAACAAACAAAGTGCCAGTTCAGTATCTTGAGGGGCCTAATACTATATTCTAATTTCTACTGTGTATTATGCCCTTTACCTGGCGCTGTTTTACAGAGAAGCAATTCATTTACATTTACATGAATATAGTTTACACTTCACAAGAAGATAAAGTCAGTAATAACTCACTTTAAAAACATTAAAATGAATTTGGCTTAAAATCACCATGAAATTTTTACATGAATGTTGAATTTACAGATAGATATTTTATACAGATTTTTAGCTTCATAACATTTATTTAGATTTCCAAACTATGAAAATAAATATTAATAAAAACCAAGAGGTTGAAAAACTCAGGTTAAAGATTTTGGTAAGATTTCATTTTTTAAATCTAATATAACAATATGTCAAAGGAAAGTGAATTTTTTCTTTCTTGCAGTTGAAACACTTTGGCATCTCAAAAGGGCATGGCAGCATCAGACAGGTTTCATTTATTTTCTTATATCCACAGCTGTGCTCCCAGACCCATCTGGTTACACAGCTACTAATTTTAAGAGGATGTAATAAACAAGTGACACACAACTGCAAACTCCATCTGTTCTGTATAGTGGACAACAAAACTGTTCAACAGCAGTCACCATTCACCCACGCTTAATGCAAGAATTAAGTTTGTACTCTTGATTGGAGGCCATGATTCATAACTTATTGATAATCAATTCTAATTGCTGCTTTTCAACTCCTTGTCCTTTAAACAACTCTGTATCGTTTCACTATTTACTTTCAGAGCATCTAGAGGCATGAAAAGGCTTTTAAGGGGTAGGAAATACAGAATAATCATAGAACACAGCTTCGAAGACCCATTAATTCATTACATCTCTTCAATGTATAGTGTGGGTGTGGCTTAAAGGTACTGGGTGGAAACGAATAGCAAATAATTTTCTTCAAAAATCATCTCTTCATTGAGGTGACAAGCATTATACAGGCTGAATGTCTGGAGAGTTGAAACAATGGTAAAATTTGAAAATAATGCTTGCAGGATGATGGTGACACTAACCATAACTTAGACACCTATAGGCATTTATGACTCCATTGCCCCCTTTAGCCATTTTTAGCTTTAAATCATAATGAACAAACATAACATTTCAAGCTGGCTCATCCTAAGGGGTTGCTGGCAGGATCTGGTTGGCACTTGAATATTTTATTTATGTAACAAAACTAAATTTGTGATCCTTATTCTTTCATTATAATTGTGCTTTTCATATAAACCTTTTAAATAAAAAACATCATCTCATTAACAAATGTAAAAATCCTTTTCTTTTAAATGCTAGAAAATATGGGTATTTACATTATGAAAAAAGTTACTGATGTTAGTGATGCTGTAATTCGTGAAAAATTATCTAATTGAGCAGCAACTAAATAGCAAACTTAGTTGTGAAAATAGCTTTTAGGTGGCACTCATTGCATTACTGGGCCATAAATTTTGACATTTTCTTTATATTTGTAAAACACAGAAAATGAAAAGTACCTTCTCAGTAGAAATTTAGTCTAGATTTCAGAATAATGTATTGACATCTTATATGAAAATTGCTAACTTTTCCCATAAAACCCTTTCTATTACTAAACATACATTTACAAAAAGCACTAGAAGCCTCTGAGGGTTAAGCCCCTATTGTATAATTCTTCATGTCCCTAGCCCACGTTTCTCAATCAGTACTGTTGATTCGATATGGTAATTAAATCTGGAAGTGATTTCTTGTATAAACTCTTCCAAGATGATCATGTCTTATTCATCTTTCTTTTCACAGGTGCTATACTATGATAATATTTTTCATAATTTATAAATATGTAATAAAAGACTGAAATGTATATAATCTTTATACAGGGATACTAAAATTAGTAATGTTTTTAAAACTTTACAACACTAATATCCATAATACTATCTCCAAAGCCAATCTGAGAACATTTTGTAATATATAATATGGTGACACGATGCACCCTTTAGGAGGTTACCTTCAGGCCGATGACAAACGCTGAAGGAGGAACTTCCACAAACTGGAAATGGCTATTTCAAAAGAATATTTTCTCAATCATCTAATAATTTATAAATGACTTCCATGAGTTCAATTCAATGTTCAATGTTTCTAGTGTATTACTGAACTCTCCTGACAACATTATGAGGTAAATGGCAAAATTTCCATTTTATAAATGTGCCAACTTAGACTTAGCTAGGTAATGGCAAAAGGAAGGGGCAAATTCTAGGCCTCCTTATCCTGAGCTTAGTGCTGTTCTCATTGCTGGTATTTTTCTATCCATGTATCTGTTTATATTTTCTATAGATCTGAATTATATGAAGAGTATATCTATGATTCATTCAAAAGACTATGTAGTAAAGTGATAAGATATTACAATACTATGGTCATTCTGTATCAACTAGATAAGAGCAAAACATGTTTGATGTTCATTAGTCCTTAGATGCTTCTCTGACATTATCAATATGAATAAAATCACTCACTGGGGAAATTAAAAAGCATTAAATGGCAATTGCTGAAAGAAACTTTATTATTTAAAGTTCTATTCCAAAATGACAAGGCAATCAAAGTTTGACAGGGCAAACTAATTAGTATGCCAGATTTGAAATGTAAAACACCTCAAGGTTCTGATTCTAAAAAGTTTCATATCATCTTAATAGGCTCTTCATACAAATTTTCAAGCAAAGTAAAAAATATTTAAGGTTAAGGTTTTTGTTTTCCACAGGTTTACAAATCAAAATGATATCCTAGCTTATTAAAAAGGAGCTATGCTCTGATGTCAGTTTGAAAGTTTTCTGTAGATACCTTAAATATTAAATAAAATCGAAGAAAAATGTCTTCTCATAGAAAGATTAGTAAATTCTACAGTGTTTTTTAAAAAGATACTAGATAATTGCACTATAAGGTAGACTTTATCTCATCCTGGGAACATTATTACTTCTTCAAATTTAAAGAATAACAACAATTATGAGAGTAAATGTAAAAAAGATGTGTGTGTAGAAAGGTGGTATATGAATGCCAAATGTGGGTGAAGGGGAGAAGAAAAGCAAAGCACACTGCCATGTTTGTACCTATGCAACTGTCTTGCATGCTCTGCTCATGTACCCCAAAACCTATAATCCAATAAAAAATTAAAAAAAAAAAAAAGAAAGGTGGTATATGAATAAATATCTGCACTATTTCTCAAATCCTAACATTTAACTTCTCATCATATTGTGCCACAACAGGATTTTGTTTCCCCACATTTTTCTAAGAAACAAACAAACCAAACCAACAAAAGTCCCACTGTATTGTGAAAGATAAAAGTAAGTGACGTATTGCCGTTGAGGACAATGACAAGGTTTTCACTTCAAGAAATGGTCATCGAGTAACCAAACATTAAAAGGAAACACTGCTTTTTAAAAAGTCATGCTATAAAGAATTTTTTTTAATGAATGAAATTTCACATGAAATTAGAAAAATACTTCAAAAGATGAATTTTCTTTTAAACAAAAAGGCAATTTACTTTTTTTTCACTACAAACTGACACACAGCAATGAAGAGGTGGTGTTGTGAAAACGTACTGCATCACACAACAATGCTTGATCAAAATCAGCAATCAGGAGCGAAAAGAAGGCAGTGTTTCATGATCATAATAGCAAATTCTGGAAGACAACCAAACATATCATCTGGCAGTTCAACAGCTGTTACAGCTTGGTAGTAATACCTTGGCATTTGCTGTAAGCTATAACTTAGAAAAATTGATTTTTCATCTGCCAGATAAAACCCAAAATCTCCTTTTAACATGTTAATATTTAAATAAAATATATGTACTAGTCGTTTTTATTTTATACCTTTGATAGTAGAGTTGCCAAATTAATTTTTCTATTAATAGTTTAATTCAACTCTAAATACCTGGCAAAAGATTGACATGGGCAATAATGTAAATGCAATTTGTTGAGCTTCATTGTGTTGGCACATTAAATTAATATCTGCTAACATCATTCTCAGTTGCATTTATCCCTCTTAAGCAGATAAAACACTGGTATTCTGAAAGAACAAGTTTAGGAATGTCATTATAATTTCATCATAGAGTGCTGCCAACAATAAGATAAGTAGAGTAAAATTACATATATTAATGATCTCAGTATATATCATTATACCTACAGCTTTAACAACTATAAAATGAAATTTATTGAAAACAAAAGAAATTTTTGACTAAGGCCACATACATCACCGAAATGTCTGAACAATGCACATGATAGCTAGAGAAAAAATAAATTGCAACTTTAAGTATAACTGATTCTCTTAAGTGACACCATTTTAAGACCCTTCAAAAATCTCAGAATAGGAAGGATGTTTTCCATTAAGTAAATTCTTCATAAAAACCTTCAAGTCTGGCATTATATTTAGATTTTGAAATGTCATAAAACATTTAGAATTCAACATTTATGCAATCCAGTTTTAGAAAATGAAATGGCATGCACATATCAAATTTTAAACTTATCAAATAGAGGTTTACCTTTATGCCTACTGCTGTTTTCTTTGCTTCTGCTTTTAATTTGGTTGCTCGTAAAATAGGTTTAGTTTTTTTGTAATCTTGTTTACCTAGAAAGAAATAGCTTCAGACAATGAGTTATGGTTGTATATAATTCAACAATCATCTGAAATGTCAAAGAATGTTTAAATACAGTAAAACAGGGACACAGAGTTGCAAACAGTTCCCAGTTGTGGGAACCATAAACTTGTCACCAAAGGTCAACTTTTCCTTCTCTCTTACTTTTTCAGGAAGAAGATACTAATGAACATCTTCAATTTGATGTATAGTGAATGTCAAAAAAGATAAAAACTTATTTTAGAGAACACAAAATTTGAAGTAAAGAAAATAAACCTTTAGAGGCATTTGGAAACAAATACACAAGTAAATGAGGATATGTAAGATCATTAATAGGTAAACTTTTGTCTTCCTAAGAGTAACAGCTCATTATAAATATATTTTATTTTGGACACATTAAGCATTCAAAAATAAGTTAGAAATATCCCTAAGTTTTCTTTAAGTAAAAAACTAAAGAAAAAAACCTATAAATACTTAACTTTTAGCCCCATCCTGAATTCATTAGAGAAATATGTATTTTTCTTTTGTTTCCTCTTAATAGAGAGCAAAATAAACATGGCTAGATAGAAGTTATAGGATAACTATATTTAGATATTAGTTTCAATAATCTCTTCCACATTTCATAGCCAAAAGCATCCAAAACTGAGTTAGTGCCATAAAATTTCCTTTCTTTGTGTGTCATCTAGTGACTGAAGCAAAGAGTAACAAAACAGGATTGCAAAGCCTGGGTAGAATATAGGTTTAACAACAAGAACAAGAATAGTAAAGCATTCATTAAAATGATATACTGCTTTGTCTAGCCAACTTTTAACTAGGAACTGAGTCAAAATGAGCCTTAAATATAATAAATAAATTCTCAGAAAGAGTTAATACATGACTGTATTATCTCTCTGGCTATTTTATATTCTTATTTTGCCTTATTTTCATCCTTTCCCTTTCCTTTCAGTGACCAGTTCCTTTACAAAACTCATTGCTACATTCCTTTCATCTAAATAATACAAATTCTGACTTTAATTTCCACACCTTCTTCACATTGAAATAAATTTAAAAGCAGTTGGTCTGAACTCAAGTATATCATAAAAATTTAATGTGCAATATATCTTAATGTGTCTGCTAATGATTCAAAAGTATCTTTAAAATTTCATATAGAGTTTTAGAACTAGAAATGGTAGTCAAATGAGAGTCAAATGGACGGACGTAGTGAAGAAACACTGTATTTGTGTCCATTAGACACATAAAAGTTTGTTTGGCTGAAAAGCTAGGTATTTCGTTTTTTAAGGATTGTATGCTCTTTCCTTGACTGATATTGTACAGCAATAATTCAGGATCCATGAACATGCAGAAGCTTAATAAGTATTATTTGATGATGGGGTCTGATGATCTAGAAATAAGCCAAATGTCATAATATATATCCAATGTTCTAAATTTAAATCATGAAATGAACAAAATACAGAAAAACGTTACTCTGACCCATTTTAAATTAGCAATATTTAATTTTGATGATAAAACCTTGACAAGTGTTTGCTCTGATTTCACATCTCAGCAGTGAAACTATTCATGTCATTATTCCTGCTGAGATATAAACAATTCAGAACAATGAAAATGGTGACACATCAAAGGCCTCCAGTCAGGGTTACAAAGCAAGTTTCTAATGAAAATTCTAAAAGAAATCTGAAGATTATAGACTTAAAGTCAAAAAGTAATTTCTTGTTTTTTCTTTTTTTAAAATTTATTTATTTATTTTACTTTAGGTGCATACTATATCTGGCATTTCTCCCCATGTTATCTTGTATATGCCCTATAATAATCTCTTGATGATATGGGGTGGGGCGAATAAACAAATGCAAGAGGATTATCTTAATTCACACATTTTTTAATACAGCTATGCAATATTTTGTATAATGTATCTGTCACAAAACACATTCAGATATCTAAGAGTTATCTACAGTAAGACATTTATCACTCTAAATCAACTACCATGTAACCATTGGTTAAATAACGTATTCTATTTCAATTCACTCTTATATTCTTAGAGAATAATACTTCCAGATTTGTATTCAAGTTGATATTAACATTTGAAACTGTATTTGTAATAAAAAGACAGTATTAAAGGTTATTGTATTTCTGGTACTTTTCCAAGCAGTGCATCTGTCATAAATTTGTATTCTCCTTGTCGACGATGATATCCAAAAGTGTATATTGCAATATGTGGTTTTAGTTTACTAAGTGAAAACATTTACAAGAGTGTCTGCTAAGTTCTTTATAACTAAAACCAGATCATTCCATTGGATTCAAAAAGGTTTTCAGCATTTAAATGTTTATGGCTTCGAGAAAGATATCTATGCCCACATGAATGTAAAAAATATAAAATATAGAAATGCCTGCCTTTGGAGTACTTACACCTAGGGAAAAAAAACACACACTTACATAATCTAGATTTTATATGTAGACTGTTCCTTGAACATAACTGATTTTGATTTTGATTGTATTGGTAATGCAATAACCAAAGTCATAATTTGACGGTGAAGAGAAAAACTTGATAATTCAAGCCTATGAAGCCATTCTGGGGCCTCAATCAAGTCCAATGTCTAAGCTTCCTTAGGAACAGTTTCTATTGAATTTTTCTGTGTATAAACTACCCTACTAGTTCTTTATGTGTTTCATAATTTTAAACTGAAAATCAAACATATTTGATAATGTAATGTGGAAACTCTGTAAACTAGATCACCCCTGAGGTTTGTTGTTACTGTTATTTGTTCTTGGTTGGTTGTTGTTAGAATCCCTTCGTTAAGTAACCTTTCTTAACTAATTCTATAACAACTGTATTCAATGGTATATGATCACTGAAGTCTCTGCGTAGTTATCTTAGAATACATCCCACAAAATTCATGCTGGAAACTTAATTTTCAGTGCAGCAGTGTTGAGAGGTGAAATCTTTAAGTGGAGAGTGGATCCCCATTCTCTCTTGTGCACGCTCTTTGGCCCTTTTGCCTTCCACTAAGGGATCAGGTATTCACAAGGCCGTTGCCAGATGCAGGCCCCTCAAGCTTAGACTTCCCAGTCTCCACAACTGTAAGAAATAAATCTCTGTGCTTTACACATTATCCAATCTCAGAGGTTTTGTTATAGCAGCACCAAATGGACTAAGACAGAAAATTGGTATCAAGAAGTAGGGCTTCTGCTATAACAAACACCTGAAAATGTGGAAGTGGCTTTGGAAATGTGCAAAGGGGAGGGGGAAAGAATTTGAACGAGCAGGCTAGAATAAGCCTGTATTGCTATGAAGGAAGGATTAAAGGTGATTCTGGTGGTGGGTGGGAGAGGTGTTCAGGAGAAATGAAGAGCTGTAAGGAAAGCCTGAATCTTTTTAATGATTATTTGGGGTCATAATCAGAATGACGATAGAAACATGAAAAGTAAAGGCCATTTTGATGAAGTCTCAGATAGAAATGGGGATATTTTATTGGGAACTGGATAAAGGCCATCCTTGTCATAAATTGGCAAAGAACATGTCTGAATTGCTTCATTGTCAAAGACTATATAGAAGACAGACTTTATGAGAAATGGACTAATGTATCTCCCAGAATAAATTTCTAAGCAAAATACTGAAGGAGTTTGACCTCATATAGTGAGATGCAAGAAAAAAGAAATGATTAAAAGGTAAAATTTACAATTAAAAAGAAGCTGAAGAGAAAGTTAGAAAATTCTCAGCCTGGCCATGTAAAGAATAAAAACAGTGTGTTCAGGAGAGAATACTAAAGGTGTGACCGAGCAACCCTTTGCTAAAGAGATTACTAGAGAGAGAAGGGGACCAGGTGCTATTCATCAAGACAATGAGAGAAAGACCCCAAAGTCATTTCAGAGATCTCTGAGAATGCCCCTTCCAAAATAGGTCCAGAACAAGATCTGAAGGGCAAGGTCTCCAGAGGTGTCCAGGGGACCTCAGTATACACTACCTGGAGTTGCTTTGGGACTCTGTTTCTCACATTCCAACACAGCATCCCTCAGCCATGCCAGCTATGGCTTAAGCAGATCCAGGTGAAGTGAAGTTGGTGCTGCAGCTTAAGAAGGCACAAGGGACAAGTAGTAGCGGGGTTCACGAAGTTCTGATTCTACAGACCTGCTGATTTCATGAGCTGTGGGGCCATAGGGACTTCCAACTAGATTTCAAAAGATACACTGGACAGCCTGGTGGCCCAGGCAGAAACCTGTCACAGGGATGAAGCCACTGCAGAGAGCCCTCACTAGGGCAATGCCTAGTGAAGCCACAGGAGCAATGCCACCTCAGAGACTCAAGAATTATAGAGCTACCAGTGTGCAGTTGCAGTCTGGGAAAGAACCAGGCAAGAGACTCCAACCTGTGAGAGCTGCTGGGTGGTTTGAGCCCAGAAAAGCCATATGGAGAGGGTTGCCTGAGGCCTTGGGGGCCTAATACCTGCCCCAATGTGACCAGGATGTGGGACATGGAGTCAAAGGATATTATTTTCCAGCTTTAAAATTTAATGTTTTCCCTGTTTTGGTCTTGCTTGCAATCTGCTACTCCTTTATTCTTGCCTATTTCTCCCTTTTGGAATGGAAATGTCTGTGTTATGTTTGTGCCAACATAATACCTTTTTTTTTTTCTTTTTTAGGTGTTTCACTCTTGTTGCCCAGGCTGGAGTGCAATGGTGTGAGCTTGGCTCACTGCAACCTCCACCTCCCAGGTTCAAGTGATTCTCCTGCCTCAGACTCCCAAGTAGCTAGGAATACAGGCACGAGCCACCACGCCTGGTTAATTTTTGTATTTTTAGTAGAGACAGGGTTTCGTCATATTGGCTGGGCTAGTCTCGAATTCCTGACCTCAGGTGACCCACCCGTCTCAGCCTCCCAAAATGCTGGGATTACAGGCATGAGCCACTGCGTCTGGCCCCAGCATTGTACTTTGGAAGTAGATAATTTGGTAATTTGGTTAATTTCACAGGCTCACAGATGGAGAGGAATTTGCCTCCAGATG